GGTCCCCCCCCCCCCCCTCATGTTCTTTAGCTGGGTGAAAACCAAGATTTCATTCAGATAGATCAAATGCCGAATGATAGACATTGATATGGACAACCTCATGACGCAGGATCTTGCTATGGCATTGTTGTTTGGAATAGGATATGCTGGAATCATCTTTGAGGAGTCCCTAGCTTTCAATAAAAGTGGAGTAGGACTTTTGATGGCCGTGAGTTTGTGGGTTGTTCGTAGTATCGGGGTAAGAACTTGATATATGTAACTCGAACATGACCCTTCAGTTATGGCCATTATCTGTTTCTTTTGCTCCTGAAAAAGTTAAAAAAGGTTGTATAATTGATCTTTAGAATTTGAGATTTGTGTACCCTTTTGGTGTTTTACGTCCTTACACAGGCCCCTTCAACTGAAATAGCTGTTTCTGAGCTTGAACATGCATCTGCTGAAGTTAGTGAAATAGTGTTTTTCTTGCTCGGAGCAATGACCATTGTGGAGATAGTTGATGCTCATCAAGGGTTTAAGCTCGTTACTGACAATATAACCACTCGGAAGCCTAAGACACTTTTATGGGTGGTTTGTGTTTCATTTCTTCTTTACAGTTTTTCACTCCAGTCTCTGCTTATACAAAGATAATTTTTCTTTGCGGCCCAAAGTATATTTACTCTGAATTATTGCATCACAGATTGGTTTCGTTACCTTTTTCCTGAGTTCGGTTCTTGACAACCTGACATCTACCATCGTCATGGTTTCTTTGCTTAGGAAATTGGTTCCTCCATCAGAATATCGCAAGTACGAACCCACCTTTTTTTATATCCCTATTAATTAAGTTGTTCATGATGAAAAAATGTCTCGTGTCTATTGATAGAAACCCAATGATAAACTTCTTAAGGATAAACTTAATTGCAGTATTCTTTGTGTTCTGTGTAGCATTGCCACCCTGTTAAAATGTTGAATCTAGACGATTATAGAATTTTGGTTGGTTCAAATATTCACGGTTTTTATTGTTAACTGGCGTTGTTTCCTTTTGCTTTTTGGAATTTTGTCAGTCTAAAATCTTTCCTTACTTTTTACGTAGGCATTGCCAAATTAACATTGTTTTTACATACTGTGAATGGCAGACTTCTAGGAGCTGTTGTTGTTATAGCTGCAAATGCGGGAGGAGCGTGGACTCCAATTGGTGACGTTACTACAACTATGCTATGGATACATGGTCAAATATCCACCTTGCCGACCATGAAGGTTCTCCTTCTGTTCTTAGATAAATTACTCAATGTCTTATACACTATATCGTCGCTTTCTGTTTCCCAGTTACCCCGATTTTCTTTCTTGACGATTTTGCATGACCAGTGAAGAAGAATCATAACAGAACGGATAGTATAGGTGCAGCTCCACGTATTTCGTTAGAAACATTTCAATGGGTTGAAGCTTGTGTCATTTGAAACATTTTGCATGATCAATTGAAACATTTTAAGTGCTCAAAGGTTACAACTCTCTGGGGTGTTCTCTCTGTTATGCATAAATTACTGGGTCTGAATCTTTTAGATGACACTGTTCATCAGAGCTAATGGCAACTCTCAAAACCGAATCTTTCCTCGGTTGGTGCTTTGTATTCATGCGATAATTACTGATAAAAGTGCATGTAACTGTACCCGAAGTGACTTCTGTTTTTTAGTTTCCTTGTTGGAGGATTTTACCTGTCAGTCAGCGCTTTCCTTTCAGGGCCTTCTTCTACCTTCTGCCGTGTCTCTTGCTGTTCCACTGGCTCTCATGTCCTTGACCAGGTTATGAATTCCTCTTGAAAAAGTTGCTTCTCATTTTTGTTTAACACTGCAGAGACTGATGCAAGATTTTGTTACATGTTTCTTCTTCCTCAGTGAAGCGAATGGAAAGGGACAGGATTCTCCCAATGTGTTGGCTTCCGAACAGATGGCTCCACGAGGGCAGCTCGTTTTTGCAGTTGGCATTGGAGCTTTGATATCCGTTCCGGTGTTTAAGGCTTTAACCGGGCTGCCTCCTTACATGGGTATGCTGTTGGGGCTCGGAGTTCTTTGGATTCTGACTGATGCCATTCATTACGGTGAATCAGAAAGGCAAAGGCTAAAAGTACCACAGGCCTTATCTCGTATTGACACCCAAGGAGCTCTGTTTTTCCTTGGGATTCTGTTATCTGTCAGCAGGTACGATTTTGAATTTATCATCTTTGAAGTTATATTTCGACCATATGCCCGATTTCAAAATTCCCGTGAGTCGTAAAATTTGCATTCAATGAATGTCTTAGACATGTTTAGACAACATGTACCAAATTAGGTGCATACAATGGAATTTGTTTGGGACATATAGTGTTTTGTTTTCCTAAACTTTGAGAGATTAACCTCCTCTGGAGCAGCTACATCAAATGAAACCTCCTTGGTGTTCTTAGGTTTGGTTTTCTCCATTTCTGATTATATTAGCAGATGTCTAAATCAGAAGCGTTTGTCTAAATGAATGGCGGGCTTTGTTAATCTCGATGATATTCTTCTGTTTTTCCAGCCTCGAGTCAGCCGGGATCCTCCGGGAGATTGCAAACTACCTCGATTCTCATATTCCGAGTGTTGAACTCATCGCGAGTGCTATTGGTGTTGTATCAGCCATCATAGACAACGTACCATTAGTTGCAGCCACTATGGGAATGTATGATCTCACATCGTTCCCTCAAGATTCCGAGTTTTGGCAGCTCATTGCGTATTGCGCCGGCACCGGCGGGTCTATGCTCATCATCGGATCTGCTGCCGGAGTAGCGTTCATGGGCATGGAGAAAGTCGACTTCTTTTGGTACCTAAGAAAGGTAAAGATCAAATCCCGAGTCTTGAAATCTTGTCAAGTTCAGGCCTTTTCGAAACCAGACATAACAGGGTTGGCTCGAAAGACAACAGAAAATGTCGGGTCCTTGCTACATAAACCAGATGTTACCTTACAGAACCCGTAACCTCAGTTTAACAAAACTCTGTTTTGCTCTGTGTAGGTGAGTGGCTTTGCTTTCGCGGGTTATGCTGCTGGTATCGTGGCTTATTTAGCAGCTCACAACCTCCATTTCTCACTGCCGACCACCGTAGCTCAGATCCCTTTCCTCGGCAGTTCGTAGGCCGTGAAAAAGACCATAGGGTTTCGATTTCGATGGAAAACATGGCAAGGTAATGAGGCTTTTGGATGGTTACTCTTTCAGTACATAACTCTTTGAGAAGAACAGGGAAGATAAGAGACCATAGAGTGTAATAGTATTGGTTCCAATAAAGGGCTTAGAGCGATAGGTTCAATAACTTCGCAGATTTGGTGTTGGGAAGAAATCCCACGAAAACATCGGTTGTATGATAAATTCATGGAAAAAAATTCTATGAAGATGGTATCGATTTCGAGCTTGTTATATGCATTCACGAGTTTTGTGTCATCTGATTCACACTTACACGAGATAAGAGCCCTAAAAGAGTTTCTTTGGATTTACTTTAGAGGGAAACAAACTCTTCAATGGCTGTAATTTTCTTCTGCTTACCAGGCGCCATCCGACCCAAGTATTTGGGGCATCCTGTAGATACCCAAGTTTGGGTACCAACCGGCAGGTTTCGAACTCCACAATCCGAGGGAAACAGGATTGGGGCTGGTTACCCTAAAATCATAACTCGTCTCTCCGAGTATAGATGTCAAATTGGGTTGGCTTAGATGAGTTAACTCAATCCAATCCAATTATTATTATATTTGGGTTATTGTTTTGAGTTATAATTGTTTTATGAGTTAAATGAGTTTTAACTCATTAAATCCATGGGTAAACCCAAATAATCCATTAAACATTACATTCTTTAGTTATTGAGTAAATAAAATATTAAAAATGTATTTATAAATAAAGTCAATATATTTATATTTCAAAATAAAAATTGAATTAATTCAAACCAAATAAGATATGCTCAAATTAGATATAAAATCGAATGTACAAATTTTTTTAAAAATAAAAATCGAATTTAAACCAAATATAAAAATAATCAATTTGAATATTTTTTTATAAATGAGAATTTTATAATAAAATCGAATTCGGAACGAAACGAATCAAATTTTAAGATCAATTTGATCCAAAAAATGGATCAAAACAGATCGATTCTGTCGATCCGAATTAAATTCGCCTCAAAACGGATCAATTCGATCTGAATTGAGCTCGACTCGGAATGAATCAAAACGGATTGATTTGATCTTAATTGAATTTGATTCGAAACGAATCAAAATGATCAATTCAATTCGAATCGAATTCGACTCGAAACAAATCAAAACGGATTTATTTGGTCTTAATTGAATTCGACTCGAAACGAATCAAAACGATCAATTCGACGAATTCGACTCGAAACGAATCAAAACGGATCGATTCGACGAATCGATTGAATTGATTCGAAACGAAATGAAGTTAATTTGAATCCTTTTATTTACATATATTATTTATTTTTATTTTGTGGGTAATGTTATTAACATAATTTAATATAATTTTATATATATATATATATATATCTATATATATATTGGATAATTTTCTTCATAGGTAAAAAAATTATAATTTTAGGATATTAAATTACGTATATAAAATTATCTTTTTAGTATTTTAAAATTAGGGAAAAAATTCTTTTTAAATCCTAAAAAAATAGAATAATAATCTAATTGAATATTTTTTTTATTCTTGTTAGAAAGGATTTAAAATATTAAAGTGACATTACTAAAGGTGAGGTCGAGGCAAAGAGATGTAACTGAGATGAGGTGTCGGAGATTCGGAGCGAATGAATGAGACGAGGTGAGACATGTTCTCATCACTCGTACTAATCTTGTTGTTGTACGAGTTCCCAATTTTTAAGTACCTAATTTGCGATCGGGTCGGACTGGTTATTCGCTTGTGTCCATGCCAACTCACATCCTCGTTCATGTGTCCCACTACTTTGATCTCGTGGTATTCTGGTAACAAATCTTGATTCAACGTTTACGATATGATTTCAGTTACAAATCTAGAGTTTTTCGATATGCACAATATATGATTTCAATTAAGATTACGTACAGATTGAATATCCAAAATTTTATTGAGAGTATAAATCTAAATCAAAATCGAAAGGTTCGGGTTCTAAGGTTTGAAACCCGACCTAAAATAGAATATTAGGTTCGGATGATATCTGAAATGTTTGGGTAATGTGAGAGCGAGAGCCAAGACATAGGCAAGTGTGTCAAAACAAGTTTAGTTCACGAGGTGGCTCGCGGCTCATTTGTTTTCAAACGAGTTGAGCCATGATTTTCTATCTTCATTTAAAAATAGCTTGGCAAACCAACTCGTTAGAGCTCGAACTCTAATGAGGTAAAGTAATATTTTTAAGATTACCTATATTATAATTTATACATATTATAATATTAAAAAAAATCTAACCGTAATACATTTTATTCTTCTTATCATTGATTTTGTTAATATAATTGATGTTAATAGTATTTTATAAATGTTTTTGTTATATTTTATTATTGATTTCGAAGATAAAAGTGCGTTTATCTACAATTAAAATAGATTGTGAGTAGTATTGATTTTTTTTTTCATTTAATGTTATATTTTTTGTATTTGTTTATATAAAATTCCTAAATTTATAAAAATGGTGGAAAACCAATTTTTAAAATTTTTGTTTGACAAATTTATCCATGAATTTGTAAAATGTCTCATTATAATTTTTAAATTATTTAAATATATCATTATAATTAGGGGATATGGTCAAAAAAACTTTGTACTCTTACTAAATCGATGAAAAAATTGTATATATTTTTCGTTACTAATTAAACTCTGTATTTGATGTGATTAACCAATAAAATCCTGAACTTTTTAAAAATTTACCAAAAACCCTGCGTTTGCCAAATCAAACAAAATTTTGATGATATGGTTTCCAAATCATGTACAAATCATTATAATTATGACATATCATCATTTCAAACAAAATTAAATTGAATAATTTATTTAAATTAATATATATACATACAAATTCACATATATATATATATATATATTAAAAATAAAATTATTTATAATTAATAAAACGCATATATATATATATATCTACAATATATATATATATACAATATAAAAAATTAAAAATTGGGTGATAGTTTTTGTTTTGAAGTTTTGGCTTTAATGTTTTATTTTTGGTTTTAAATTTTTGTAGTTTTATAAAAATTGGAAGAATAACATTTTAGTCCCTAATTTTTAGATTTTATATGTTAAATTATCAAAAAGGGTTTTACACCCATATATATAATAAAATTTCTTTAAAATCATGGATATTTTTGGCTTTTGAATGTATTATATAATTAATATTTAATAGAAAATAAAATAACGTAATGAAAAATCAGTTTTTTCATGAAAATCCAATAAATACACTGAATGTTATACGGAAGAAGAAATGACATAAATTTGTTTTTTGTTTTTTGTAAGATTTATTATTGTTTCACAAAGTAGACTAACGATGTTGAGATTCTGGGTAATGGTATTAATTGGAGAATACAGTAGAATCATTAAATACACAACCAAGGAAGCTCGTGGATTTTTCAAACAACGAAGAGGAGAAAAACAAATTAAAAAATTAAAAACAAAAAACAACAGGTCAGTTAATAAGGAATAATCGATGAGAAAATCTGTACCACGACTCAGTTTCTCCGTGTGCTCGAACATCGTCGTGTTAAAATACCAAGGAAGAGAAAATTACCGCGGTAATGTCATAAAGAAAATTTGCTTGCCTTGTTTCACCTGCACCTAATTGCAAAACGCGTAATTTAAGTACTCGCAAACGCTGAAAACAGCGGTCTCAAGATGAGACTTTAACACTAACAACAACTATTAGACCCAACAACTGAAACTAGAGGAGGATCCGGATCGAGTATTCGAGATTTTTGGGATATCAGGACCTGAACGTCTCGGTTCTCATAGAACGTTATTCAATCTCAAATCTGTTTTAATTGGGTACCCAAAGGTCCGGTTTCCATGATAATTTTTTAGTATCTAAACCCGAGGTCCAAATACAAAATTTCGAAATATGTATCATGTACTAAGGGTTGGCTCGGATCAGGTGTCCGAGATTTCCGGATTACGAGAATCCGAACCCGAGCTCGAAATTCAGGAGACTTCAGTTTAGAACCTTAGCTTTGCATGAAATTTATTTCAAACCTAGGGCAAAACGGTAATTTTACTGCCCATTCCGAACCCATCTCAGGCCCAATTACCCGAACCAAACCCCGTTATTTGAGCGTTCCTTATGAGCAAACCCCAATCTATCTCATATAATACCCGGATCCCCGAATTTCGAGGTTTTTTGCCCAGCCCTAATTGAAGCAAACCATAAAGGTGATCCTAACAGTGCATAGGACAAAGTTTGTTGAGTTCTCTAGTTTCTCGAGTTCTAGTTATGTTCCGTGTCTCGGGTCAAAATGAAAACATGGGTTCTAAGTGACATCGCAAGAATGGCACAAAACCCGATCGTTCTCGGGGGGGGGGGGGCGGACA